GGGTCGTCCGCTTTATGCACTACTGGTTCACGATTGCCGGCGAAGCCTTCCTCAAGAATAAGATCGTCTGGACGTTCATCGAAGACATCTGCGAAGCCCTTCAGAAAGACATCCATAAGTATAAGACCTTTGAAGACGAGTTGTTGACACTCAAGACGATCACCGAAGCGAAGACAATGTGAGTATCAGTGCTTTGCATATACTGTATATCCTGTCGTTGATATGAATGGCAATCTTATTATGTATGTTATCTCTCTATCCTATTATATACCGTGTATTATATGAATGAATAAGTATTTTTATGGCAAAGAATATTCTGGTATTCAACCAGAAGAATAAGTCCTGAATAAATGCTGAAGTGTTCATAAAATTACTCATTCATATAATGTACTTAACGCTACATTTTCATGTAATATACGCTTATTATATAATATTATTGTTTATGGCTTTGTGTGTTCACTCATCGCAGCACAGAATCGGTGCCAAAATAAATATCCCAATAGATATCATGTATCTATGTTTAGTTACTTAAGTTCCTAAACTAAACTAAACTAAATTTTAGTACTTACTGTACTTTGCATGTCAATCATGTATTAATATACTGTACAGTACTTTATATGCAAAATGATACATACCTTTCAAATCTAAACCATTATATAAATAATATTTAAAGTGTTTTGAGTACATAAAGTGTTTGTCGTGATTACCATATATTGACATTCAATAAATGTTAGAAAATATTACCTTTTTCTCTATATTACTCTCTATTAACCCATTGTTATGTAATAATAGGCAATCGTATAGTCGGTTAATGATGTTATCCCTGAGTTTCTGTGTTTTGTGTGTTTATTCTGTGGACGAGTCGTCCCCTCAAACACTTTGAGACAATAAAATTGTAATCTATTTTTGTTTGCTATGAAAAGGCAAATACTGTATAAAAACCAGTCGTTTTCACAGAATATTCTGTTTGTTTTTGTTGTTTACGATTCTTGACTACGAAAATAGACGCTCACACAAAATAATACACTATTCATATCATTCATATACTGTATATATAATACAGAATTTATTCTGTGATATAAAAATAAAAGCCATCAGAGAATCGCATTAAATAAACAATTAATTCAAATAAATTGCTCACAAAATTTATTATTTAATGAAATAACAAAACACAGCAAACAAATAACTTTTGCATTACTTTTATTTGCATTTCCCATTCACTAACCCATTGATATGTTTGGGTTTAAAGTTATAATTGTTGTAATCAAACGTGTATTTAATTGATTTTATGATTCAGTCATATAATAGGAAATATAAATTATAAAATTAAATATTTATAAAAAACACATGAATACTGTATTAATAATACATATCTATAGTTACGATCTGGAGATGGATATGAGAGGCGTACAGAAGTGGAAAGCGGATAATCCGGGATCCGTTAGGCGTATGTCGACTGCGCCGGAGATGCCAAACAACGCCAATGAGTACAGAAACAAGTGGTTATCCATCAAAGAGAGCGATGAGAGTGAGTATCCTTTTAAACGCACAGAATATTCTTTACGCTATTTATATCTATACATAAAAAGTCATTAAAATTACAAGAAAAAAGTTATAAACCAAATAAACAAAACACTAATCCCGGCGACTTTTATCGCCTCCATATGTGTGTACAGTTATATGCCGTGTCTTCTGTGCGGATCACACCTACACCACACTTAAGATCACTGTCGAGACGAAGGCCGACGCCATCAAAGTACAGGCCGCTGAGAAACTCGGTATGGATAAAGTGAACGAATTGGTCTTGGTCGAACTCAAATCTAACGCCGGTATGTAATCATAATCTACTCAATACTACATGTATAATCCCTTTCCACCCATACTTTTCCGTAAAGTAAATAAAACACTTGTTATAACTTATAAGACACTAAAGACATGTAATACATGTATCTTCAAGTGATTCCCACATAAGAATATTGTCTAAAAATAATTTCTAAAGAGAGATCATTTCTTCACTATTGAAAGAGTATAAAAATATGAGTAAAATTATACAGAATATTCTGTCACTCAATAAGATACAAGTGAATAAACTCTAAATTAACTCTAATATGATGTCTCGCTATAACAGAGCGGTTACCTTTCCGGGACACTGAGATCAGTATACCGACGGCGCTGACAGTGAACGGGCGTATATTCATCGCACACGTGGACCACTTGGACGCGTTGACAACACTGACCGAACAGGAGGGTCCGGCCAAAGGCACCGGACATCAGTTGGAAGAGTTCTCGTCCCAAGACTTTGCCCACCACTTGACTCTTTACGGATGGCAACTGTTCCACAATCTCGACGATTACGAACTCATATACCACGTGTTCGGTCGACACAACTTCAATGAGATCACCGCCAATCTGGACGTGTTTTTACGGCATTTCAACGAAATCCAGTACTGGACGGTCACCGAACTGGTCCTCGAGAAGTCACTCTCCCGTCGGGTGCAGCTCTTGAGAAAGTTGATCAAAATTGCCGGACAGTAAGCGCTGTTTTTCGCATTACAATCGCATTATAAATACAATTACCGGTAAATTAATTGTAAATTTCGTTCACTAGTTGTAAGGATTACCAGAATCTGAACGCATTCTTTGCCATAATAATGGGCTTAAGTAATGTGGCGGTGAGTCGACTGTCCCAGACGTGGGAACGGCTGCCAAACAAAATTAAGCGCACATTTTCGCAGTACGAGTCGCTCATCGATCCGTCGAGGTTTGTCTCACCGCCCGATCGGCGACTGTCTGTCCCATCGGGTGTCCAAATAGTGTCCGTAATTAACGTAAATTTTGGTCATAATTTTGCGCAGAAATCACAGACGGTATCGGATTATGGTGTCGAAGATGTCGCCACCCCTCATACCATTCATGCCATTACTGCTCAAAGACATTACATTCGCACACGAGGGCAACAAGACTTATGTCGAACAGGGATTAGTTAACTTCGAGAAAATGGTAACACATTCCCGGCCCTTCTCTCTCTCTCTCTCTCTCTCTCTCTCTCTCTCTCTGTCACACAATTTATATACAATTCAATGAACAGACAATTGTTTCTCAAACCCATTTGACAGCATATGATAGCCCAGACGTTACGTACGATACGTGAGTGCAAATCGGGCACAATTAGCGCTCTGGAGGCCAACGGCGGGTCGTCGTCGGGCGCCAAACTATCGGCCACTACCGCCACCACAACCACCACATCCTCATCATCGAAGTCGGCGTTTAGCCAACAATTGCAACAATACATCCAAGAGATCAAAGTAATCGATAACATGCGAAGACTGTCACAACTGTCCCATTCGCTCGAACACAGAAAACTATAAACACTATGACATTATTAAACGACAATTCAGTTTTCAATACCAATACTATTTAACGCATGCAATCATAAACACCATTACCATTGAAAGACCATTGCATTACCATTACATCCCATTATTTGATTCGTTTAAATACTGATAAATCTATTCAATTAATTATATTTATATTCGTTGTGAATATTTTTAAACACATAAAACATACATTTCATTATAAATCGTTGTATTTATTTAAAATAATAATATTATTAATGATAATACTTATGTGAAAAGCAATAGATTTAAAAACAATGAAAATTTGTAAAGTTATTTTGAAACTAAAGATAATTATAATAATATTAATTCAAAGTTTTTAAGATATTATACGACAAAAAAATGTTAAAAATATTGTCAATACTTATAATAATAATAAAAAGAGTTAAAAATACAAAAGTTTTGATAATTATGAATGTATTGGCAGTGAAGACATTAATGGCCGGCAAATGGAGTCTTCAATCACTCGCTGTCATCGGAGCCGAAGTTGTATTGGACGGGACGTCGGGCGCGACTGGGCTTGTCGCGGACCACTTCCTCCGAGTCGGAGCCGTCGCTCACAGCCTTTGCCATCTGTCAGAATCACATCAATTATCAAATTAGACCCAAATATAGGACAACAAATATTCAAATCAAATACCTTTTTCTTTGCGGGCTTTTCCTCCGCATCCGACGCTTCGGAACCACTGGACGTCACATTCATCCGCTTCTTCTGAGGTTTAGCCGCCTTTTTGGCCACCGGTTTATCGTCGGACGCATCGGTCGGCTTCTTCGCGGCCGCGGGTTTCGCTTTAGGCTTAGCTTTAGGTTTGGCCTCCATTTCGGGCTCGAACTCTGAGTCCGAATCAAATGCCGACTTCTTCTTCGGCGCTTTCTTTGTCCTCTTGTTTTCAAATTCGCTGTCATTGTCGTCGTCTTCATCGGTGTCCGCATTGGACTCCGATTCCGACGCCTTCTTCGGCTTCTTCTTCGCCGGCTGTGACTTCTTCTTAGGACTCAATTCGGTCTTCGGTTTCGATTGTTTCTTAGGCTCGTCTTCATTATCATCGCATTTCTTAGCGTCGGTCTTAGCGGTCGGCGCTTTGTTGGCGTCCGCCCTCTCGGCCAACGGTTTGGGCGCCTCTTTGGTCGCCTTATCATCGCTTTCGACCGTTTTCTCTGTGATATCCATCAAGTCATCGATGATCACCGACTCGTCCTCCGTGTCGACGACCGCCGGCTTCTTCTTCTCCGCGGCCTTAGCTTTGGTCGGTTTCCTAACGGGTGAGTCCTCTTCGGTAAAGGTCTCGTCATCGAAGTCAATGGTCTCGTCTTCTACGTCGGACTCGTCGTCAGACCACGGATTCTTCTTATCCTTCTTCGCCGCCGCCTTCTTCTTAGGACTTCCGGCATTCGGTTTATCGGCTTTTTTGCCGAAATAATTGGTTATTAGCGACGACTTCGCGGTCGGCGGCGATGACAACGCCTTCGAGTCCTTACTCTTGGCGGCGGTCTTCGCCTTCTTCTCCTTATTGGCCAAACGCTCGGCCAATGGCTTCTCCGCCTCTTCGTCGCTGTCGACAATCATCACGTCTTCGTCATCGACGCCATCGCCCGCTCCGGACTTCTTACTGTCGTCCGATTTTTTCGACTTTTTGGTCCCCTTTTCGGCCACTTTTTTCACGCCTTTCTCCGTCTTCTTATAGCTCTCGAAGTCGATCTTCGGTTCAATGCGTTCGGCGAAGTCCGACGGCTTGGACTCAATACTCTGATTGAGATCCACTTTCTTGGACTTGCCTTTAGTGGCCAACTTCTTGGCTGCTTTGGCCGCTTTCAACGGCTTAGAGCCGGCCTCGCGTTCCTGCTCTTCCACCGAATCCAACTCTTCGCCGAACGCCCGGAGGTCGTCCTCCCAGAGCTGTGCCGGCGTTTTCTGTCTCAACGCTTCCAACTCGAGCTTCTTGT